ATTTACTCAAAGATATATATAGACGTATTATATATAAGAGACAAATATTGTTCTTTTATTATGTTGGCATTACTAAATTTGGCTCAGTGCTTACATATATGTGTAAAAAGCAAATGTACGAGCTGTGATAACTGTTTCTGATAGAACGAAGAGTAGACTGACATATTAAATATTCCTTTATTGGGTGAGAAAATCAGACCATGTCATAACTGCTTTAAGTCATACAGAATAGATATCAGAGCCTTAAACAGGCTGACTTCTGCTAAATGGGTCAAACTGGGCACAAAGTATACAAACACACAAACACATAACATCCTTATAGAATATGATGTAACACTATAGATCAACTTGCCTCAGAATATATAAAGCATATAAACAATTACAGCAATATGATGCAACAAACACAGCAGTACTACTAATCCAAAATACTCAAAGCTTCAGAGAACTGAAACAAACATTTATTTTTAGCTCCATTCTGCTGCTGATACATACTTTAGGTTTCTGAATATTAAACTTGTTTCTGCCTTTCATAGTGTGTAACTTGAGTACTTTCTCCCACACTGAAAACACTGGAATGATAAAATTATTTGAACATTACCTAATAAGACTGATTCAGGACACACAATTAGTTATTTTAAACTTTTCTAGCAGTCCTTCACAAACAGGGAACAGTCTGTCTATTCTCTCCATCTGTCAGCTGCTGTTCACAAAAGACAAGACTGTGTTGATAGCTGTAGATGTTAAATGTTTTAAGGTCCTTTAATTCAGTTTTTTATTTATTGTATTAAGTTGTTATATATGAAGAGATATAGTTACTTGTGGTGATGAAGTTATCATGCAACATTGATGCAAAATGGCTTCACTGCCTGTACAGGTTGTTTTTTTCTGCAATCTAAAATTGTTCAAGTGCGACACATTAATCCACCTCTAATGAGTCAGGATTCAGGATCTCCAGCTTTGATGCAGCAAAATTTCCAGCCTACTTAGAAGTGATAGCTGCATTAATTCTGGACTGATAATCTTATGAGATCTCCATACAATACATTATCCGGGTAATACTACTAACAATAACACTATACAGACACCTGAAGTGAGAAGACTGAAATGTTGTGAAATTTCAATATTGTGAAATGTTAAACTGCTGTTTATGG